TTCTCATGAGAACTTTATAGATAGTCTTATTTATATTTCACATAGAGGAAACTGCGGATTAGAAATTAAAGTAGCTTTCCTAGCAGCTCAGAAACAGCCTCCAGTTTTCCTCCCTGCTACCTCAGCAATTGCTTTCTTGTTGCTAAACCAGAGCAAGTGGCTGGAGGCTGCATAGTGGGAGTGTCTTTGACATGTCAGAAGGACATCCCTCAGCAAATTTAAGACTGCAGCATTCTAGGTCTATGCCAAAGAAAACCTCCTGGCACAATTTAATTAAAGATCAAATTCTCATAACTAGATGTCAAGGGCATGCAGTATTCCAGTCCTGGGTGAAGTGTAGGTTATGCCAGTCTTAGCTGCTCTGAATAGTTGGAATTGAGAAATCTGATTAATAAATGGAATGTTTTATTTCTTATTCCATTCCGTCCTTCATTTTAAATAATGGTCTAAGTGGTTATTAGAGGTTATCTAGTCCATTCCTTTGCCTCTAGAATGAACAGGGAGGTGTGGTGTAGTGGAAAGAGAGGAAGTCTTACAGTTACACAGACTTCATTTCAGGTTCTTGCCTCAGCTGCCCACTACCTGTGTGACCCTGGCTGACTGGCAACATCTCTGAAATTCGTTTCTTCTGACTTGCTCACTGTTTTATCCTCAGCACCTAGCACAGCCTGGCAAACAGTAGGCGATGAATAAATATTTGCCTGAATGAATGAGAAAATTGATACCAGTCAAATAGATTTCCAAGTTTCCTGTAAACTCCAAAGTGTGATCTAATGTTAGTGGTTATTAAAATAGCAGCCCCAAAGGATGGCTGAAATCCTATTTGTAAAGATAGTTTGTCCAGAGAGTTCTCTAGGGAAACTGTTCTTTAGAATTTAGCATCTCTCTAAGGCAGTTTAGAGGACTCCTAAACTCCAAGTCCTATTGTGTGAGCTCTAGGCATCACAGAGTGAGTACTCACTGCAGACGGATAGCAGTTGGTCTGTTCCTCCAGGCGACACCTCTTTTTTCGTCATGTCTCCACAGCCTTTTTAAAATAAAGTGTCATCTTTTATTTTTAACATGAGACAGTCATTGCACAGATCTAGAACTGCTTAGAATGGACCATTTTTCAGACTAAAAGTGCTGTATATGTGCAGAACATAAAAGGCCTTCTGTGATTCTTGCGTTCTACTTTTTCATCTTCATGTTGCAATCTACTGTGCTATACTCTCACACTTATGTTAGTCCTGTGGTCTGGGATGCATTTGCCATCATTGATTGCTCTTTATCAAACTCATTCATGTATTTATTGTCTGGTTTATTTTTGATCCAGGTTCTATACCAATGCCTGAGCCTATCCCAGACCAAGTAAATCAGAGCTTAAACATAGTGGCTGCTTGAAAAGTATTTTCTTTCACTTCTTTCTACTCTAGCCCTGTACCTTTATTCTTTTTACAGCATGCTATGCTTTTTACAGCAGAAGAGACACAGATCACTTCCTCTCCTTGGTTGCTTCTTGACCAGTATCTGTCTAGAGACTGCACAGTGGGAAACAACAAATTGTAGCTCATAGGTGAAGGTTATAAGGACTAGAGCTGGTAAATAATAGAGCCAGCACTTAAACTCAGGTCTCTCGATTTTTAACTCCAGTCATCTTTTTATCGTATCTCCCTACCAATGGCCCTTTTGAAACCTCACAGTGATCCTGCATTTATTATAGAGCCATTCAGTTTATTCATAATTAATACTTTAGTATAATTAGTTACTCATAAATTATTAGGCTTCCGGAGCCTCTGGGGCATTGGTAAAACCTGGTCAGTCTCTCTCTCTCTGTCTGTTACATCACTTTGTTGTCTAGGATGGATAGAGGGGTTCCATGTGAACTATCATTCTAAGTATTGGCCTCAGGCCTACTGACTGCAGCATGCCAGAAGGCAGTGGTTTGTCATCCTCCCAAATCTTTGGCCTACGGAGGCTGTTAGGTGATTTAAGTTTGGTTTCTTTATGCAAAAGTTGTGTGTGTTTCTTCTTTACCCTCTTGATGTTTTGGACTTGTTTTCCTGTAAACAAAGTTCAACCTAGTGTAGGTTTTAAAATGTGCTAAGTATTGTGCTGAGTATAGATGGACAAAATGGCCAGTGAGAGGATCTATAAAGTGTAAAGAGAGTGAAACTTGTGGAAAAACCATAAGAAAGGACTGGTTGCAAGGCTACAGGGAAACTGGAAAATAGTATAGAAGCAAGTCCAAGTAAATTCAGAGAAAGAGTAAATTCAGAGAAGAGAAGAGGCAATAATCTTTTCTGAATAGCCGTAAGAGATAGGACTAACAGATGGAAATAGTTTTTGTTTGTTTATTCATTCATTTGTTCATTTGTTCAACAAATTTTTATTGATTACCTATTCTTTGCCAGGCCGAGTGTTGAAGATTGAAAAATAAATAAGACTGAACTTTGTTCTTGAGGAGTTCATAGTCTGCCTCTGGCAGGGGAGGGGAGAAGAAGGGGAGGCAAATGTGTAAACAAGTAATTACAATGCAGTGTGAGATAGATAGAACTTAATATAAGTGAGAATGCTCTAAATGAGATGACCAAAGACAGACTAGGCTGACTTTTGAGACTGTAGATTTCTTGCTACTGGAGGTTTTCAAGCATTAGGCTGGATGACCTAGACTGGGATATGGTACAGAAGATTCAAACATTGTATTCCAACAGCAGATTTTAGGTTTTAAGTAACTTGGAATCTTTTTGAAACTGGAGATCTACCACCAGTAATTCTCCAAGCATAGTAAAAGAACTGAGAAATGAAGAAAAACTGTATAGAAAGGTTGATGAAGCCTTTCTTGGCACAGTCCTGGGCTGTGGTCCTGAAAGGGAGTTACATTCCATGAAGTTGTTTACTGAAGGACCTAGGAGGCAAGGAAGGGTCTGCTTAGGATATCAGGTGGCTGCAGGAATGTAATTTTGGAACTGGCACTTTGGGTAAAAAATATACTTGAGAACTGGGGCTAGGAGGGAAAGTGAAAGGAAATCTGCGAAGTGAAATTGGAAGAAATGGATAAAAAGCACATCATCCAGAGAGTTAATCTAAATTAACAAGATTGTCCTGCTTACGTGATTTCTCGTTCAAAAAGAGAAGTAAGGAGCAGTTGATTTGCCAGAGGAAGGTCAGGATGAAGTATACAAAAAGATGAAGATTGAATTTGACCAGGAAAGATGAGTAAGGTTTTTATCATTCGGAGGTAGGAAAAATCATTGATAAGCATTTGGGGGGGGGGGGTGGTCAGGATGAGGGTAAGAGATAAATTCAGGAGAACAGAAATTTCTGTGGTATAGTTTGAATGTAAGCTGTGTCTAGCTGTAGTGGCTAAGTTTATAATGTGTGTTAATGTCAGATTGTGAAGAGCCTTAAAATTTCATCGTACTAAACTCCTTAAAGGCAAGGCATGTATCCCTGTGCAGACTTTGATTAATTAAAATATTTATCAAATCTGCTGTGAGTCAGATACTATACTAGGCACTTTTGTATTGCAAAAGTGACAAAATTGAGCCCAACCTTTGGGGAACATTCTGGTTCCTGGCGAAGACAATTATAACATAGTAAAAATAAATGTAATAACCTGGAAATATACCCACTGCTTTATGAGACTAGAGAGGACACCTAACTTCTTAGAGGTGCGAACATTTCCAAAGGGCATGTGGAGAAAGGATCGAAGAGAAAAAAATGGAAGCAGGGGATCATTTATTAGGAAATACTAAAAACACTCCTACAGATTTTGTTCATAACATTAAGTAATTGATATCTAAAGCAGTGGTATTTAAATCTGGCTGGCATTAGGATAACTAATTTTTTAAAGTACAGAATTTTGGCCTTAACCAAGACATACTCAATCAGAGTTCATGGGGTCAAAGCAGGGCATCTATATTTTCCAAAATGCTCTTAATGATTATTATGGTGGTTTTGATTTTTATAGAAAATTTAGTCACTAAAGCACTGTTGCGTTTGACTCTAAAGAGCTTACATTCTAAGTAGTCATGGTTAAAGATAGCATGGACAAATAATGAGAAACTATTCTGGAAACATTCATGTCTCTCCATTGACACTTAAGGTAATAATATTTATCTTCATTAAAACTATTGGTACCATGTGACAGGGATTCCTACATCCCTTTTTTTTTTTTTTCAGATTTCACTCCTGTTTTCCAGATGCATTGGAGATCGCTAATAAATTCAGCATTGTATAGGACAGATGGTTACTACGTTGACCATCATATATGTAGAACAAGGTCATATTTTAAAGAGAGATAGTGGATAGATGATATAGGTCAAGGATCAGCAAACTTTTCCTGTAAAGAGCCAGATAATAGATATTTTAGGTTTGTGGGCATACAGTCTTTTTTGCAACTACTCAACTACTCAACTCTGCCGTTGAAAGGTGAAAGATGCCTTAGACAATATGTAAATAATGGGTGTGGCTGTTTCCATAAGACTTATTTACAAAACCTGTGGCTTAACTGACCGTTGATAAAGTGATACAGTCCATTCTAGAAAGGGAGTGTGATTTCCTAAGGTTACAAAATTAAAAGTTGGCAGAGAATTCGTCATATGGAATGCTATTAGTAGTTTTATTTAATCTTCATATGAATGAATAAATGGCACCCAAGTGGTTAAGGAATTTCTCTAAAGCTAGTAGGTGGCACTGGGTTTAATATATAATTTAGTTGGGCCAAATTTCTGTCTTTAAACTACATCATTATGGTTTTCTGTGCTCTCTAATACCTTAGGGGAATGCAGAGAAAAGCAAGAACCTTGTGAATTTTCAGCAGTGTTTGTCAGAGTAGGTATTGTATCTTGAGTATTGTTGACTGAATACGATAGCAGTAATCATGGTATGCATTGAAAGGGCTTGAGCTAGGCCCTGGAGGAAGAGTTGTATAACTCAGATTCTTTTAAATTTTCAACACAATTTTCTTTTGCTGAAAATAATTAAAGAGTTATGTTATTTTCTTTTGATTCTAGTAGCTGCTGGTGGTGGTGACAATGTCCAATAACGGCCTAGACATTCAAGATAAACCCCCAGCCCCTCCAATGAGAAACACCAGCACTATGATTGGAGCTGGCAGCAAAGATGCTGGAACTCTGAACCATGGTTCCAAACCTCTGCCTCCAAATCCAGAGGAGAAGAAAAAGAAGGACCGATTTTACCGATCCATCTTACCTGGAGATAAAAGTACAGTATTTCATTTCTTTCTCATCATTTATATACTTAAAAAAATTTTTTTGTAACCTGGATAAAAGATCTTTCCTTGACTTAATTTTTGAAAATACCTTTATTTCTCTATTAAATATTTCTGTTGTCTTTCTTTTCTAATGTGGCTGAAGTCAAATGAAACTAGACCTACTTTTAAATTCTATTAACTATTATCTGAGCAAACTTCTAAAAAAAACAGTTATGCTCTTGTCAGGATTTTGTATAATCTGAAGCCATATATTTACTTACTTTTTAAGTTTTTAAACTGTGAACTCACAAAGTATACGGAATATTGCGGTGTCTTCATTTGGAAATGTGTTTTTTCCAAACTAGTATCATTTGGAATGTCTTGTTTCCAGATTCTTGATTGCCTCTTCCTTAATCATGCATCCAGAGGTCACACCCGGATTTGGGGATTAAATATAAGTAAGAAGGGCAGGTAATAGCTGATGAAAGGAAGCAGGACTCAGCAGAGTTCACTGAGAATAAGTCATACTAGACAGACTCATTTCCTTTTTATCGATAAAACTTCTAGAAAAATAATCAGGATTTTAACTGTGTATCTGACGAAGTCACTGAGATCCTATGGAATAGAGATTTGGGTGTCCACCTGGATAGATGACTTTTGTTTGACACCTCCTCCTCCAAATATTTATTTAAGTGTCTGTCAATATGAAGTAAAGTTTTCAGTCATCTTGTAGGGCTTTGTTCTTATGGCATGCTGAAGAAATTCGCTTTCTATCTGTAAGTTATCATGAGCTTCTGATTTAGGTGGACCCGGTTCAAATCCTGGATTCATCACTTTCCAGCTCTCTGACCTTAGGTATGTCAGTTAACTTCTTTGACTTTTAGTTTTCTATCTCTAGGAAAGATCGAGATTTTCCTATCTCTAAAATTGGGATAATATCTCACAGGGTTGTTGTATGATTACATGCAAACTTCCTAATATAGTACCTTCTACACAGAAGGTACTCAGGTGTTAGTTCCCCTTCTCTTTGTTTGGTGAAGCTGGGAGGCATAGCTAGTAGACTACATGACAGAATCAGAATTGGGATTCTGAAACAGTAAGCCAAATGCAACAAGCACATGACAAATTACAGAAAATATCTTGTGTTGCAGAAAAATATAACTGTATAACTTCAGATTGGGAGAGATGGTAGATGAGAGTGTCCTTAACCAAATAGGGAACACAGGAAGAGGAACAAGTTAAAAGAATTGGTGATTGGAGAACAGGGAAAATGATAACTTTAAACACATTGCATTTGAGGTGAAAAGATAACTTTAGACACTTTACATTTGAAATGTCTTGGCATAGAAATGTCTAATAGTATTCTTACAAATAGGAAATGGTTGACAAATAACTGAAATGAGAATTATTGAGGACTTTTATTGAGTACTTTGGGTTTGTCTGTGTTTATCCTTTCCCCTACTCCACCTTCATTGTGATCTCTTTTTGGGTCTAGATAGAAAAGATATGGGTAAGTTGCTTAACTTGCAATTTCTGGCTAATTCATTTGTAAAATAGCTGCCGACTTCCTAGGTACAGGGGCCATGATGTAGGTGGTATTACCCTGCCCTGGCACCTTCTCTCACCTGTATAGCTGCTTTGTTTATCCCTCATTTTAAGTGTGTGCTTATTTTTAATATCATGCTTTTATCAGCCATTATTTTTATAAGATCATTATAAATAGGTAGACCTTTATCCCAAGTTACTACATGTAGTAAAGAGGACTTTTAAAATTAAAAAAGTTGGTTTTGTTCTTGCTGACAAACAAGGAAGATAATAAGATTCTTGTCTGATAGGCATCATCAAAATTAAAACTTTCATGCTTCAAAGGATACCATCAAGAAAGTAAATTTCTCCTACAAAATGGGAGAAAAATTTCCCAAATTATATATCTGATAAGGGACTTGTATCAAAATGTTTAAGGAGCTATTACAACTGAACAATAAAAAGACAACTTAATTAAAAAATGGGCAAAGGATCTGAATAGACATCTCTCCAGAGAAGATATACAAGTGGCCAACAAGCACATTAAAAGGTGCTTAAAATCATTAGCCATCAGGGAAATGCAAATCAGAACCACGAGGAAGTACTACTTCACACCCACTAGAATGTTAGCAAGGTTGTGGAGAAATTGGAACCCTCACACACTGCTGGTGGGAATGTAAAATGGTACAGCCAACTGTGGGAAAGTCTCACAGTTCCTCAAGAGAGTAAACATACAAGTTACTGTATAACTCAGAAATGAAAACATATATCCACACAAAAACTTGTGCATAAATTTATAGTAGCATTATTCATAATAGCCAAAAAGTAGAAACAACCCAAATATTCATCAACTGATAAACAGATAGATAAAATGTGGCATATCCATACAAAGAAATATTTTTTGGGAACCAAAAGAAATGAAGTCCTGATAAATGCTGCAACAGGGGTGAACCTTGAAAACATGTTAGTGAAAGGAGGCAGTCACAAAGGATTTATAATTTTTTATAATTTTTTTTACATGAAGTGTCCAGAATGGACAAATCATAGATGAAAAGTAGGTGTGTGGTTGCCTAGGGAGGCAGAGGGGATTAGAGGGTTTTGGCTAACAGGTATGGATTTTCATTCGGGGGTTATGAAAATGTTCTAAAACTGATTGTAGGATGGCTGCCCAGCTCTGTGAATATACTAAAAGCCACAGAATTGTACACTATATGGGTGAATTGTATGGTATGTGAATTATATGTCAATAAAACTTTTTTATTTTATTTTATTTTTTTTTTTAAGATTCCTGCCTTAAACAGGAGATAGAAGCATAACCTTCAGACATCCTTGGGAACTAAAGGGATGATCTTATGTACTGAATGGGGAGGTGGTGATCTGGATATCTGGTTTATTATGCCATGAATTGGCTACCTAATTTGGGTCAGTTCTCTCTCTAGATTTCAGTGCCTTCATCTAAAAAATTAGTCAAACCAGTAGACATATACAGTCTCTTACACCTTTAATTATATAAAGGAGATATTATAATCCTGTAATTATAAAGGAGATATTAAATCCTGTAATTATATAAAGGAGATGTTATAAAGATGAATTTGGATCAGATTGTATATGTAGGTGAAAAGAATCTAGGCCGTTGTAAAGTACTTGAATCCGTGATAAAGCAGTAAACCCAGAGGTTCTTCTGGAAATCCTTGCTGATTTTGGGCCAAATCTGGTCTGAAAACAAATCTCTTTGCTTAAGATCAAAGCTATATCTCATTAAATTCAAAGCATAGAGGTAGAAAGCATAGTTACAAGAAGTTCTTGTGAAATGACTTAGTAACTTCTCTTTCATTCCCTAGCTTTAGAAGTAACCTGTGCTTTGAGCACATAGGTTTCACCCATTTGCTTTAAGACCCTAGATGGCCATAATTAGTGCATACACCAGAATGAAATAAGTAAGGATTTTTTCCTTTCGTCTGAAACCTTTGTTCAGCTTGATTTTGTATTTGTTGATTTTGCCATTTAACCGATAAACATTTATTGGCCTGCTGCTTTGTGCTTAACTTAGTCCTAGCAGGACACACAGGAGCATAGGCAGTCTTTGAAGCGGTATGCCCTTCATAAAATATTTGAGATTTTATACCAGCTGCATAGAGAAATGGTTTAGTACTGGAGTTAGAGAACTTAGATCAAGTCCTACTTCTTTATTTTTATTATTATTAAAAATTATTGGGGTCACATTGATCAACAAAATCCAATAAGTTGCAAGTGTATAATTCAACAGTATGTTATATATATATCACATTGTGTGTGTTCACTGCCCGTAGTTATATTTCTTCCCATCACCACATATTGGACCCCTTTTTCCCCTATCTACCTCGCCCCTCCCCTCCATCCTTCTGATAACAACTAGTCCACTATCCCTGTCCATGAGTCTCTGTTTGTATGTCATGTTTGTTTGTTGCTTTTAGGTTTATATCCCACATATGAGTGATATGTAGTTTTCAACTTTTTCTCTCTGACTTATTTCTCTTAGCATGATTGTCTCAAGATCCATCCATGTTGTCACAAATGGCAATATTTCATCTTCCTATAGCTGAGTAATATTCCACTGTACATATGTACCACATCTTCTTTATCTAATCATCTATTATAGGACACTTAGTTGCTTCTATGTCTTGGCCACCGTGAATAATGCTATGAACATCGGTGTGCATAAATGTTTTCCAGTTTTAGATAAATGTTTTCCAGTTTTTTGGGCAAATACTCCGTAGACGGATTGCTGGATCATGTGGAAGTTCAAGTCTTGATTTTTGAGGAACTTCCATGCTGTTTTCCATAGCAGCTGTACTAATTTGCAGTCCCACCAGTAGTATGAGGATTCCTTTTTCTCCATATCCTCTCCAACACTTGTTACTACTTGTCCTGTTGATAATAGCCACTCTAACAGGTGTGAGATGGTATCTCATTGTGGTTTTGATTTGCATTTCCCTAATAGCTAGTGAAGTTGATTATCTTTTCATATATCTGTTGGCTGTTTGTATGTCTTTTTGGGAGTAATGTCTCTTCAAGTCCTCTGCCCATTTTTAAATTGGATTGCTTTGTTGTTGTTGTTGAGTTTTATGAATTCTTTGTATATTTTGGATATTAAGCCCTTAATTGAGTCCTACTTCTGACATTTACTAACTCTGTGATTTTATTTCACTTACCTATTTACTTTAATCCCAGTGTCCTCATTGGTAAAGTGGGAATAATCATGAGTTTTATCTACTCCATATCATTAATAGGCATTTGCCATTTAACATAGTGGGTGTAAAAGCATTTTTTTAAACTTTAGAACACTGTACAAATATGAAGTTTTTTCTTTTTTTAATGGAAACCTCATTTCTTGTTTTATTTGATACCCACAACAACTCATTTTCAGTTGGGGAGTCTAAGACTTAGAGAAAAGTAAATTGCTCAAGGTTTCACAGCTGGAAACTGGCAGGAATGAATGTGGAACTAA